GAAGAAGAGCCAGTCGAAGGGGAGGTTCCATCTCAAGAACCTCAACCACAACTTGAATCAATAGCAACCAACAAGCCAAAAAGGACAATAAGAAAATCTGCTTGACTCATAGATATGGTGGCTTGTGCAGACTCAATTGCAGCTGGTGATATTCTTACCACTTATAAAGATGTTGTCCAAAGTTCAGAAGAAGATAAGTGGAGGTTTGCCATGGATGAAGAAATGCAGTCCCTTCATCAGAATCATACATGGAAATTGGCTAATCTCCCGGATGGCAAGAAAGTAATTGGGTGCAAATGGGTATTTGCAAAGAAAGAAGGATTTCCTAACCAAGAAGATGTTCGCTACAAAGCAAGATTGGTGGCCAAAGGATATGCTCAAAAGGAGGGAATTGACTATAATGAGGTATTTTCTCCAGTTGTGAAACACTCCTCCATTAGAGTTTTGTTGGCTTTGGTAGCACAGTTGAATTTGGAACTAGTTCAGTTGGATGTAAAAACTGCATTTTTACATGGAGACTTGGAATATGAAATCTACATGACTCAGCCAGAAGGATTCAAAGTTGATGGAAAAGAAAATATGGTGTGCAAACTTGAAAAATCATTGTATGGATTGAAACAATCTTCTAGACAATGGTACAAACGATTTGACAAGTTTATGTTGCAGCAAAGGTACATAAGAAGCAAATACGATCATTGTGTGTATTTGCGCAAGCTTGAAGACGATTCCTTTATATATCTTCTCCTATATGTTGATGATATGTTGATAGCTTCTAAAATTCAAGAGGAAATTGAGAAGCTAAAGATTCAACTAAAAAAGGAGTTTGAGATGAAGGATTTGGGTGAGGCAAAGAGGATTCTTGGCATGGAGATAAAAAGAGATCGACATTCAAAGAAGCTTTTTTTTTATCTCAGAAAGAATATTTGAAGAGGGTACTAAATCGATTTGGCATGAATGAGAAAACAAAGTCGGTTAGCACTCCACTTGCTCCTCATTTTAAGCTTAGTGATGCTATGTCGCCAAAGAATGAAGTTGCATGAGAATATATGTCAAGAGTGCCATATGCGAATGCTGTTGGTAGCTTGATGTATGCAATGGTTTGCACAAGGCCAGATATTTCACACGCTGTTGGAGTTGTAAGCAGGTACAAGCATAATCCTGGAAAGGATCATTGGCAGGCTGTAAAATGGATTCTACGGTATATTAATAATACTGTAGCTATTGGCTTGGTTTATGAGCATAAAGATTGTCAATATCTTGTTGGATGTTGTGACTCAGATTATGCAGGTGATTTGGACAAACGAAGATCAACTACTGGTTATGTTTTCACTATTGCAAACGCACCAGTTAGTTGGAAGTCTACTTTGCAGTTAATAGTTGCTTTGTCTACCACTGAGGCAAAACAATAGCCTCGCCCGTGCTTTATTTGGTAATTTACTATCCTTGCTCATTGTTTTCAGTTACAACTTACAAGTCAAACAGAAAATAAGCTTAATGAAATAAGAAGAAATATTGCTCGTTCGTAATTCATGAAAGAGTTCAAAATGAGAGAAGGTATGCATAGATTCTTAGTTCTCATTAAAATGCAGGTCCAGAAGAACATCGTCTCCGAATAGACTGGCCAACAAGGCAAAAAATCTGCATTGGGATAGCAAAAGGATTAGCTTTTCTACACGAAGAATCGTCATTAAAAATTGTTCATAGGGACATCAAAGCAACAAATGTTAAATTTGACAAGATTCAAAGATGAATTAATGTGAAGATTTGGTAGTTAGGAAGATAATTCTTCATTGGTACAAAAGTCAAGATAACATCTTTTGTAGGTGAAATTTAGGTGAACCATAAAATGGTTTCACAAGGTAAATCTTGACATTTTGACACATTGTGATGTCATGGATGACATCAATAGGAAGAATTCACTCCTATAAATAGGTAGTTCCTAATTCATTTGTAACACACCTCTCACTTGCCTTCTCATCTTCAAAGGCATTTGATCTTCTTTCTCTCTTGTAGTATTTCACTTGTACTCTTTTGGAGTGAAATAAATATTGGTTGGTTGTGTCCGAGGAGTAGGAAAAAGAAAACAAAAGTTTGCCAAACCTCGTTAATTCCTGGTGTTCTTTTTATTGTTGTCTCATCTACTATTTATTAGCTACCTTTAGATATAACAGTTGTGATTTCATCACTCTCTATATATTCGGCTTTCGCAACAAGTTTAATTCATAAAGTCTGTATGCAGTTTCAATTTGTTTGTATAGTATGGAGTTGGGATCTTTGTAACTAAAAAATATTTACGTGACATGTTTAAAATTAAAAGATATTTTATAATGTAAATTTTTTAATTTTTTTTTATATATTAATTTTTATACCCATTCAAACATTATAACAATAATGTACTCAATGTAATTTCAGATATGAACCTAATGAGGGTAAAATATGTGTAGATTTTATGTCTACATGTCTTAGAGGGTAGAGGTTCTAGGAAAAACTAGGAAGTTGCATTAACTAGGAAGAAGAAATTAGAAGATAGTAGTAACATGCGTATTTGGCATAATTGCATTAACTAGGAAGTTGCCAAAAAAGAGAAGGTGTAATGAAGAAGACACGTGGTCAGAAAAGCAGAAATGAAGGAGGTGTCCAAGTGTGTGTACACTTTGCCGAACAAATCCTAAGCCTTTTTGCCCTCACACAATACTGACGGTGCGGAGTTATCAATTAGCCCACACTAATATATATACTCACTCAAAATAGAAGAAGAAATATTCACTTCATTCAACAAAACACCATTTTAAAAAAAAAGTTTAAGCCATAAACCAACAACAATGAGTACTGCTGGTCAGGTCATTCGCTGCAAAGGTGATTCATTTCTTGTTTTGCCTTTTTTTGCTATATTAAGGATCTGAAAGTTGTGATTTTTGGAACTTTCTTGTTTGTTATTTGGAAAAAATATGTAAAATTTCTTTTCTGAATACAGATTTTTCAAAATCTATGGCCTTTTTTTATGCACTTTTGATTGATTGTGTGTAGCTGCGGTTGCATGGGAAGCGGGAAAGCCGTTGGTAATTGAAGAAGTGGATGTGTCACCTCCACAGAAACATGAAGTTCGCCTCAAGATTCTCTTCACCTCATTGTGCCACACTGATGTTTACTTCTGGGAAGCTAAGGTCCTTTTCTTCAACTGTACATTTCTAATTTAATCACTTGCTCAAACTTTTTGAGTCTGAATCAATGTTTCGTCTTGACCCTTTGCAAATTTTTTCCATCTTGATGGTGATTTGAAATCCTCTGTTTTGTTTTGCTGCAGGGGCAAACACCTCTGTTTCCTCGAATTTTCGGACATGAAGCTGGAGGGTATGACCCTTTATGTTTAGTTGATTTTCTTATGTTATTTTCAAACTTAGTCAGTATATATATTCTTATACTTGCTGTAGAATTGTGGAGAGTGTAGGTGAAGGTGTAACAGATCTCCAACCAGGAGATCATGTTCTTCCTGTGTTCACCGGAGAATGCCAGCAATGCCGTCACTGTAAATCATCAGAAAGCAACATGTGTGAACTCCTACGAATAAATACAGACAGAGGAGTTATGATTAGTGATGGTCAAACAAGATTTTCCAAGGATGGGAAGCCGATATACCATTTTGTTGGAACTTCCACTTTTAGTGAATACACCGTTGCTCATTCTGGTTGCGTCACCAAGATCGATCCACAGGCACCACTTGACAAAGTTTGCGTCCTGAGTTGCGGAATCTCAACAGGTTTTATTTAACTATAGCCAATTACTCGTTATAATTGGATATTTGTCTTATGGAGTTCATGTTTTCTCAAGGACTTGGTGCAACTCTGAATGTTGCTAAACCTACTAGAGGTTCTACTGTGGCTATTTTTGGTTTGGGAGCTGTTGGCCTTGCTGTGAGTACACCCTTTTATTTTTTCGATGCAATTTTCATTGTCATAACCACGTGTTTGAGAATGTTTTCTCCGTCATCTTGTATTAGGCTGCTGAAGGAGCTAGGCTAGCTGGGGCTTCTAGGATCATTGGCATTGATTTGAATCCCAGCAGATTCAATGATGGTGAGTGCATTTGATTATCGATGAACAAGAATGTAATGTCGAAATTTGTTGATTTTCTGTTTTTTCTTTTGAATTTCTACAGCCAAGAAATTCGGTGTCACAGAGTTTGTGAATCCAAAAGATCATGATAAGCCTGTCCAGGAGGTTTGTGTGTGCGTCTCTGGCGTATCCATCTTGTTTCTACATGACATAACATAACATATCATGTGAAGTGTTTGTTTGCAACTTCTTGTCTGAGGTTTACGCGATGATTTTCAGGTAATCGCTGAGATGACCGATGGAGGTGCTGACCGGAGTGTAGAGTGTACTGGAAATGTCAATGCTATGATCTCCGCTTTTGAATGTGTTCATGATGTAACAATTCTCATCTGTTTTTATATCTTTTTTTCCATCTCTTTTATCACAAATGCAATCTTATGACATACTTGATTTACAGGGTTGGGGTGTGGCTGTGCTTGTTGGCGTGCCAAACAAAGACGACGCATTCAAAACTCATCCCATGAATCTGTTGAATGAGAGGACACTCAAGGGCACCTTCTTTGGCAACTACAAACCAAAAACTGACCTTCCATCTGTGGTGGCCAAGTACATGAATAAGGTAATCCTTTCACCATAGTATTGATGATACTCAAACGACTGTCCGTGCATAGAAGTTAAACTTTATTCCGGGGTAAATTTTTCAGGAACTAGAGCTGGAGAAGTTTATCACCCATCAAGTACCATTTTCAGAGATAAACAAAGCATTTGACATTATGCTGAAAGGGGAAGGCCTGCGTTGTATGATCACTATGGGACATTGAAATATGCTAAATAGGGAGAATAGGACAATGTATTATCCCCTATTACCTAGTAAAAATTATGTTAAGTAGAGTTTGAAGGCAAAGTATGTGTGTTCTAAAAGGCCCGAGTTTGCTTAACATATTGTGTAATAAACTACTAATATTTGCATGTTTTGTAAGTCTTTTTTGAGTTTTGGTCATTTACATGTTATATTCATAATGTTGTGCTTTAAAACAAATTTTAGAATATTTGCATTACGGAATGGCTTTTGGATTTATCACCTTTTTGAGAACAACATTTTAGTCACATGAATGTTGTTTTTCTAGTTGATTGAATCATAACATTACATGAAAAAGGAAATAGCAAAAAGAAATTGAATCACTAGAAGTCCTAATTCAGGCTACAAATACTAAATACTTTGATCTTTTAGATTACAGTAGATCATTAAAACACTACAAGAAGTTTGGTTTTTATGTTGCAACAAGAAATTCCTTGGATCAAATACAGGGTTTACATTCCTAAAGTGCATAGGCTATCTCTGAAATTCAGGGTTTGGAGAGGGTAGAGTGTACACAAACCATACTTCTATCTTGCAGAGGTAATGCAATAACCTAAACCCCTCGAAAATCAAGACAACAATGCAGGAATAAATTTTCAAAATTCTAACTTTATTTTTGTTATTCCACACCATATTTTTACTAATAATCCAATACACACACATATAATCTGATTATACCTATGAAATATAATTGGATAACCTTAAACTGCATTAATTTTTTGCAAATATGGTTTAACTTTTTGTTTATTAAGATTGTCCCAAAATGAAATACAACAAATATATTTAACATTGCATTTGTAGCTTTATTATTGATTAACATTACATGTAAAAGAACCACAGGAACCTTCCTCATTACGATATGCTGAATAATTTGACATTGCAACTAGACCTTGCCTGATGTCCCCATTTGCCAAAAGCACTTTCACCAAATCTTCTAAGGAAGAGCACTTGATTCATAGAAGAAATGCCAAACTTGAACATTCTTGCATTTCAAATATATAGCCAAAGCCAACAAGGTAGGACAAGTGGGATCAGTTATGAACCAGAAATCAGTTCCTTCAACGATTTCAACGGAGAATTATAACCATATACTTGTGTGTCTCTCCAGAAGCTGAACACTGTTTTCAGCCAAAAGAAGAAAAGAAAAGAGGAGTCATATTGCCATCAGCCAAATGCAAACGTTTAACACGCTGGGAAGGGGGAAAAGGCCATCATGAGAGGGGTGACTGGCTGAGCCATCGATGAACAAGGCATGGAGTTTTTGCCAAAACAGTATAGTTAAACGTGCGAGAGACAGAAAGTTAAAGTTAAAACAAAATAAATGAAGTGAGAATGTACCCAGCCATGCTACAAAGGCAGTTGTTGAAGCCAAGAAAAATTCCCTGCTTATAACTTTGCAGCTGGATGTGGAACAAAAGCGATTTAGTAAGTAGAACAATGCTCAATTCTTGAATAAATCTTGAAAACTATTGAGCACAGCACTTCTGCACAACTTACCAATATAAGCAGACAAGGTTTCCCCATCCATAAAAAACGCATGCCCAAGTTGAACCAGTGAACCTGTTATTAATCAAGAAGAGAAACAAGAGGGGAAAATTAAACACCATAAAGAAGAACTAAAAGAAATACTCAGCATAACTAGACTAATACAGTTGACCAGGTGGTACATTTTTGCACAGGCATCAGCAAATCACATTGTATTTTTAATTTATTTTAAAAAGTAGGTAAAATTTAATGAAGAAATTTGCAAAAGAAAATTTGAATTACACCAAATGTGAACAAATTTAGTTCTGAAGGTTCACAATAACAAAAAAGAAAAGGAAGAAAACAAGAACCTTATACGAAAAAAAAAAGATGTAGAAAAAACAAACAATGATGCTGATACGCAAAAATAAGTAGGTGATTTGAGGAACTCTAGATCTAATTTGACAGCTAAAGAAGAAAAGGGAAGTTTGTAATGCAAGGAAAAACAATTGTAAGATGCCATACCACATCAAATCCCGAGTAAAGAGTGCTCGTGGAATCATGAGTCCATTCCCGATCATTGCAAGCAGCATCGAAAGAGCTGATAAACCTTTTATATTATCTGGATTTAGAAGGTTTGTCCACTAGACAGAAGGTATCAGTCAGGATGAGGAACCTCAAACTTGTGAAAAAACTAAGATTTGACAATTTTACTCCAAAATAACTTAATAGAAATTACCATTTGTGAAACTGGCATCCACATGAAAAGAAGAGTGGCAGTCCATCCAGATAATGATCCTACAAATTTGATACCCTTCTCTGGAAGTTTCCCAGTCCGAGACTGTAAAGAACAGTAGCTTGAAATTCAGAATAGTTCAGATCCATGTTCTCATTCTCTCAAGCTTAACAAAATTATCTTCCCACATAAAGTGCATACAAAAGTCTCTAGCTTGCTCTTGAGCCAAGGAAAATGAACACAAGGTAATTGTTAATCCTAAACGAGTTAGTGTGTGTAATCTAACAGAATCAAAGTAAAGAAAAATCAATGTGAGCTACTGCCTTTGCGACATTATTTGGTAACCTGAAAGTTAAGAGTTCTCTTATACGTGTGATGTATGGAATAAAAGCAAGCAGAAAACTTTCAGATCAAGTTCCAGTTATGGTCACCATAGAGCAAAATGACAAAGAAATCATAGTAAGCCACTACATAAGCTTCCATACTTCCAGGCACATCAGTCAGATATGACAATCTCCCTGCAGAATTTCGAGCTTCAACATGCATTCCATTATTGTACCTTCAAATAGAATACGTTATTCAATAAGAACACAAAGCGAAAAGACTAATCAAAATCCAGGATACAAGGGCACAATCGCCTAGTTCAGCCACCACTTTAAGACTTGCCCTTCCAGTTTATAGCAGAAAACTGAAACCTTTCATAAATATTAAGGAAGAAATATGAAAAGAATTGATCGACTGATAGCTAGTTATCCCACCCAATGCCAGAGAGGTGTCATCTCTCTTCCTCAGTCATGAATAAAGAAAAAAACCCTTCTTTGCTTCTTGTGTGGCCACAGTAGTTCAGAAACAACACCAATTTGAACATAGAGTTGAGCATTATCCCAGTGCAGATGTTGAGTTGTGTTCTTCTAGCACTTCTCAGAAAATACAACCCTCTTATTAGAATGATTTTCAACATTGCCTTTCTATTTATCAAGTCAAGCAAAAATATATATCTTCTTTTTCTGGCATTGCGATATTTTACTTCAGTTAGTTCACTTCAAGGCAGAATGACAGATATGGCCATTTCAACATTATCCTTGTAAAAGTAACCACATGTACAAGCTGCAGATGTCAAAGCTTACCATAAAGACAGCTAGGATAGCCAGAACGAAAGCTACAGCACCAGGCAAGATGGTATTTGGAACATATGGGATGAAAGTTGACCACATGACCTGTACAATGCATGGTGCAGAGTGCCAGAACAAATATAAGAATTTATCGACCAAATTATCCATATGGATGAGTAGAAAATGAAAGAAAAGAGAGGGTGATTACTTGAGGAAGCGCAGATAAGCCAGCAATAGTAATGAAATCCTCCCAATAACGCCAGATTACGGGATTGAGCAAGTGGAAGTAGTTCATGAAGTTCACAACAAGGCCACAGGCAATAACAACAGAAGTGACTGCATAATGAGGTAAAGGCATAGATCCAGCCATGGCTAGTTGTGATATCACAATATAAATGGTCACGACGCCCAAAGTTTGCACAACAACCACTTCCGTCTCCCTCTTCTTAATAAAATATGATAGCAAAGACAAATTACCAAGCAATCCAGTGAACATCCCCTGTATATGTTCATCTCAGAGTATTTATCACTCAACGTTAATAAGACCACAGTTATAAGTAGCTAAAATAGAAGTAGAATACCATACCAGCCATGGAACAGCAAATAATGCAGCTTGATTTCCTGCTAGAAGGTTACGAGCATTGAGTATTATTTGAGGCAGTTGTAATATGAGAAACGGAATATTTGCAGCTCCTGCAAATTTTGCAGTCAATGAATCCCATTGCTTAAAGCTCTTGCTACTCTTTAAATCTTCAGAACTCTACATTTAACATCACTGTTAGGCCATATTTCATTACCTCCAACTGAACCAAAGCTTACTTTTAAAAATGAGCCCAACAACCACTATTAGATGCAAATGGAAGGGGATAAGTACCTGATCAATAGGGCGGGCAACATCTGAGTCAAGCGCAGAAACCGGTTTTAACCGGTATTGACAAACTAATGGACTTAAGAGCACCGATTTGTTCAAAGTATTGTTTTGTTTGACTCTTTTCTTATATAGAGGGAGAATTGGAATTGACTTTGGATGCTGGAGATCAGCATTGAAGGCATAACAGTTGGAGGGTTGGCGGGAACGTAGGACTGCCTTACCCACTGGTAACAAAGATCCAGCCATTCAAGATATCGAAAAATGAAGGAACTATAAGTTTATAATTATCATCAGCTGTAAGGGAGATATCAAAAAAGGTCAATCGTAGTGGCTACAAAGGTAACTCCCAAAGAGGCAGCTGATCCAACTTCTAATGGTTCTCCACTAAAATGAAAAGACAATTACTGGTAAGCTCCAGCACAAAGTCCAGCCGGTACCAAATCTACATCAAAAAGCAAAAGGCATGAATTACCCCCAAAAAATCACAAATTAGGACAGTAAACTAACTAGCCCAACATACTTCAATCCTTTTAGCTTTAATAAGAAAGAACAAAATCAGAGACACCGGAACATAACAAACTTCTTTAATTTCCATCAGTCCAACTCACTGTGTGTTGAATCAGTGTCCTGAAACTTGGCTATACATTGACTTCAAAATACATAATCCGAACAAGTTAAACAATCTATAATACATTACCGCAAACCAAGTCAGAAGCACACAAAGAACGTTAACCGGGGAAGGGGAAGAAGTATGTCCATATGAAGGTGTCATCTCAGAACTTGGAACAAAACTTGTAACCATTTTAAGCTAACTCTAATAATTATATACATTTTATTTCAAAGGATGAACATATCAACGTCCAAATTGATACCGAAAAGCAGATGGTTCCACCCTCTACTTTGAACCTCTTCATTCATTTTTAAAACAGATGGAGTACATAACACTACAACAACAATACTGTGACTCAATCACAAGCAAGTTGGGGTCGGCTACATGAATCCTCATTGACCATGTAGCTCCATTTAAGATGAAGTACGCAATACTAAACATCCAGAAAAATATTTTGAAATAACAAGATCTCCACTCAGACCATATCACTCTGCAATGAAAAGACTAACTGGGGAATCTTAAGGAGATTGGTGAACTGATAATAACATTTCAAACTTGAGTAAATTGTAAAGAATACAAAGCTATGACATACTTAAACCATTCACCATAAATGACATAGCTCCATCATAAAGGTCCAAACTTTACACCTAAAACCATCTTTAATTCATCCCCCACACTTCTAATAGGCATCATCTCCAAGAATTCTACAGCAAGTTCACAAATTTCTGAATATCTATGAATAGAATGAATGTTTCAAGACCAAAACTAACAGAAGTCTATTCAAAGCTCTTTTATTTACAAGAAAACAAACAAAAACTAATCACCAAATAACATTTCATACCAAAAATTCTAAGATTGTTTCATAGATACCCGTGCCAAAATATCCATTAATATTTTAACATCAGCAATGTAAATCTCAAAGCTTACCCTTTTATAGAAGCTTTCAATTGATGGCTGAAATGAGAGAGTGAAGTGGCAAGATGAGGGAAATGTGGAGAAGAAGAAGAAGATGACAATTTCTTTTTAATTTAGTTCATTTTTTTATTTTTTATTTTAAAAAAGAATCTTTTAATTCAAGTTTCACGTGTTTTACATTTAATCATAATAGGAATGTATTTGTTTGATTCTTTTTGGTTTCCAAATTGTGTTCGGAATCCATATTGGAGCTTCGATTAAATTCATATCACGCTCTGCAGGGTCCATTCGGGGTTGACGCCCCCAACAAGATTTTTTCCATATCAGAGCTCAAACTCGAGACATCTGATTAAGGTCGAAACACTCTCACCTGTGCACCACAATCCATGATGTATTTGTTTGATTTAGGTGTTCAATAGGTGGAGGCGTGGAGCCACTGGATAATATGTCTAATCTAAATATAAAATTGTGACCAAAGTTTGAAGACATATAATACATACAAAAATTAGAGGCAATAATATAATTATTGCTATATTATAATAAGTAAGGAATATTTATAATCAACCTTCTCTATAAATATCGCTAAGCAAATAAACAATTTTCAATGCAAATGATATTAGTTGCTAAATGATTCTACTTATTGTCGCTTGAAAAAAATAATCTATTGTTACTCTATCTAAGGTCATAGATATATATACACATAAATATATAGAGAATTACTGAAAGCATCACAAAATTTAGTGTGAATTATTAATTTCATCTCTAAATTATTAACAGCCTTAAAATCATCGTTTTATTTGATTAACTAAACTTAAATACACTTTTGATCTAGCCACGTGAGTGAAATACACCCCTGAATTCTCACCAACTTTAGGAGTATTTTCAACACTTTTCTTAGCTTTCTATTAAGAGTCTCATGCTCGTCCAAGAGTTTGAGACCAATTGTTATGTCATGTGTCAGATTAAAGAAATAATCAAATTAAGTTAGTTAAATACATGAGCATTTTAAAACTGTCAATAATTTAAAAATAAAACTAATAATTCACGTTACATTCATAATATTTTCAATACTTCTCTCCATAAATATAAATATAAAAGTAGACACATAGAAAAAAAAGCTCAAATATCTAAACTTGATCCAAAAGAGACGTGCATCTCAAAAAATGAAGGATGGGTCATGGATAGTGGCGTACTTACTTACTATAGTGTAGAGGAAAGAATTAAATGGGTACATGGGGGATTCACAATCTTTAATTTAACTATAGCTAAAGTAAAAATAGCTTTTAACAATAATAAATATGCACATTAACAAATATTGTTAAAATCTTTATTATTATTAGTTGATTGTCATTATTAAATATCACTATAAATTTAGAGATATTTACAAATACTAGTGCTAATTACCTCTAAAAATATATTTAACGATAATTAAACTATTATTATTTATTAATTATCACTAAAAATCATTTTTGATATACTGCTAATCGACTCACAGAACTTTTAAAATGTAGTACTAAAATCAGTGGCATTATATTCTTTATTTATTTTTTTGGAAATACTATGAATCCAGACAGACCCACCTGGAGCAACTTTGAAATCACGAAATGACAAGTGTGGGGGTGTAATACAACGTGATCATAATAAATGGACATATATATGTGCACGAAACACTCCTCCTTCACCTTAATTTGTGTCTAAAAAATTATTGAATATATATTAATAATTTATCTATAATTTAATATATTTTTTTTTTTTAACTAAAACTCAAAATTTAAGGAAAATCATCTGTTTTTGAAAAAGCGAAGAGCTTTAGTACAAAATTAATATGGGAAAAATCCTTTTGGCCAGAAAATTTGGCCAGAATAGTGTTTTACCTATGTTATTTTATCTTTTTAAATATTTTTACGATTTTTAACTTTAATACATTTTAACAAAAAAATGAAAAAAAAGATCAGTTTATTTTAAAATAAAAAAGATATTATAGGTTTTAAAATTTCTGGCCAAATTTTCTGGTCATTTAGCATTACCCATTAATATGTTGTTCACTACTTAACTACTTAATTAGAGTATGTAGTAGCTCGAATATCTCAATGACAATTCGTCATTATTGATCTATTTTTACTTGAAAGAAAAACATATAATTAAATATTAGGTTACTATTAACAATTACCTGGCGAAAAGCTGAAGTTTGTACAAGATTTTGATATTTTGGTTGTAAGAGAACTATATGGATGCTATTTGGAGTTTTTGAATAGAAAAAGGAAGTAAAAATACCAATTGGATAATGAGAAAAAAATTGGAGAAAGAAAGCCTCAGGAGAAAGCTTATTTATGAATCATGAATTGGAAGAAGATGGGAAGGGAAAAGAAGATTTAATGGTGAGGAAAGTGAGGATGCTATTGCTCTCAAGTCCAAGACAAAAACATCTACATACAAAATACGTTGCAAATTACCCAAAATACTCTTACATTGGTTACTTCTTTACTCAAATATTTAAGGTCATATTTGTCAATTTTAGACTTGGTTTTTTTCTATATCACCATCTCATGTTTGTATAGACAATCTTTGAGTTATGTAAATATCTTTGAAGTACATAATATGCCAAGAAGAAAAACCAAAGTTTTGCTTAGATTTTTTTAGGCCCAACTAGATGTTAAAAGACTTAGCATGAGACTACAACTCCAAACTTCAAAATTTAAACATCAAAATTTTCAAATAAAGTGATTTTTAATGAATAATTATAAAAATCTCACTAGTTTGAGAGCTAATTACTTAGATACACATCAGTTTGTGATATTATGTATCTTATCAAATTCTAGTGCGTCCAGATACGTGTATCCCAACAAACATGTGGTCAAAACTAGGCGTAATTTGCTATAGATACATTGTATCCAAGTGGATTCGCATGTATCTGTGATACATAGACAAATCTCGATCGCCTACCTCCCATCTCACTCACCACTCTCCTATGTATCTGGTATCCTAAATACATATAAATACACGTCTCTAGTGTGATTTGCATGTATTTGAGATACATACACAAATCTCGCTTGTCTCCCTCATGTTCTCGCTCACCTCTTTCCCTATTTCAATGTATTTGTTTACAATAAACATGTTCTAGGTGTATCTGACTTGAAATCTGGTATGACATTATTAATTAGTGATATAAAATAGGGAAGATTGTATAAAATAACAACTATTAATTCAAATTAAATGGTATAACCACAGTTGGATTCAATTGTAACCCGTAGCAAACAATTGTCATTCGCCTCTCTCCCTGAATTTCTCGCTCGCCACTCTCAATTTCTCGCTGCCAGTCTCTCCCTCGCCTCTCTCACTTTATACAAACACAAATGTATAAAATGTGTTTGTGTTTGTATAAAGCGAGAGAAAACTATATATACAAATACAAATACAAATACATATTTTCGTCCTATACACTTTTAATTATACAAATACAGATCTTCCCCTGCCTAGTTTTCTTTTGCTTTTCTCTCTTTCTCGCTTTATACAAACACAGATTATGGAAATTACAATGTATAATTTAT